AATTTTCATTCCTATAAATGCACAAAAAACAGCAGCTGTTATACAGGCAGTTAACTGTCCCTACAGAAGACACAAAAACAAGCTATAAATTTGTTCAACATTATAAAACCCACCTGCAACAAGGGGGAGAAAAGAGGAGGGAACAGGAAACGGAAAAAATGGGGAAGAAGAAGTGAGGAGGGATGGGACGAGAAAAGAGATAGAAGAGGAAAAACGTCACCTTCTAATTTTTATGTGTTTTTGCACATATGCAAATGCAAAAACGCATATTGTGACGGCAATAGTGTGTGTGTGTATGTGTGTATGCGTGTGTGTATGTGTGTGTGTGCACGCACACACATAATGCAAACATACACACACGCACTATGGGAGCGTGTCTGACTAGATATTTTAACGCGGCAACCAAGCAAGCTCTGACGGTGAAATTTTGCCAGTGGAGTCTCTGACCACGCGTAACCGCAGGACGTGGTACCAACGTTCAAGCATACCTGGCCCCGCATATTCCCACGTATAAGTTTTGGAGGGAAAAATGCTAACTCGGGAATCAGAAAAGCCAAGTCATTTTCAACAGACCACCGCTCAACCGATATTATTCATTACCCTTTATGTAAAATTTACGGTAAATTATTGCTCTAAGTGCACAAGTTAAATGTGAAGCAACAACCATTCGTACGGTTAACGACTGCAAAAACGCATGATCGCACCGGCAAGCCTGGGTTTACACTTTCAACAAAGAGAATAATCTGATTTATTCATCAATACAAAAACAACGCGTTGGCTTTTATTTTCCTACTTCCCTCTTCCTCTTCCCAGTCCCTCCTTCTTTTTCCTCCCATTCCCTTGTCTACGCGAATGTTAATCTAGAAGATAAATAATTCATTAATATTTCTCTTTATGCCTTTCCTTAAAGCCCGAAATTGCTCGCAGAAAATTAAATTATCAAAATGTAAAACAAACCGAATTGGCGCCGTGCGATCACCGCTCAGGGACTTTGGTAAAGGTTCCCAACGAAAGTGAAGACTCCACCAAAATCCACCAACTGCCGTCACTTCGTCACCGCCCGAATAAGCCAGCGTTTCGGCTGATATGTGATCGATAATCGGGCAAAGAACCGCTGAACGTTTCTGTTTGATACGCGCCAACAATGGTTCCAGCCTGAAATCTGAAATACTTGAACACGGTTAAATTCCCAAGGGATATATTTCATTTTCATTCATAAAAAAGTCCACTGATTTATGGGTTATTTATGCTGAATAGCAAGCATTAAAATCGAACTCAGCAGATTCGGGCGAAGGAAATTTTAAGCTTCCGCCATTTGCTGCAGTCGGTACTTGCTCGGAAGAATAAAACGCAGTAGCTGGAGAAAATCGCAAAAAAAAGCGATAAGATGGACTCAGGGTCAA